ATTATAAGCAGCAGTGGGACGACAAATACTTTAATGAATCTCTACAATGAGTACCGTTTGCGGCGAACCAATGGAAATGGATCTATAATATTGTCGGGAATACCCATTAATAGGGGTCTCAATCATACCGTCAAACGGCAACTCAATAAATTGTAAACTAATTGATATTTTTGATATAACAGATTACTGTTATTTATTATAATAATTTATATTTTTATTAATATGATTTACATTGCTAATAGATTCGCGCGAATATATCATTCATCAATAATCGGTCACAAATTTAAAAAGAACCAGTTATACAATAAAATCAATTATGCCAAATTGCATGTCAGTGAACCACAATGGTTTAATGTAGAAAGTTCATGTAATTTTACGCTCAAAAATATTTTATTTATAGTGATTATATCAATTGTATTTTTAGCTACTTCATTCATAATCTTTGTAATTGAATTATTATGTTCTATTAGATATAATGTATAAATATTTTTTAAATAAAAAAATACTATTTATAATATTATATTACTGTAAATAGAATCTTAATTAAATTGTGATACAAATAGTAACTTTCATTATATAAATGAGTTTTTATTATAACATTTTTAAAAGATAAAGAATTGATTTGATATACTGAATACATAACGAATACGTTAGAATAGTATACATTTTATATAATAAATGATTTATGACTATTGATCTTTCAAACATTATTAAATTTATTACAATAGAATATTTTAACAAAATGAATAAATAATATATTTTGTATTATTTTTATATTAACATAAATTATAATAGAATATTGAAAGTAAAATAGAATATTCCGTAAACAAGTAAAAATGTATTTCATTTAGTACTGAATATTCTATATAAAATAATTTATTCGGTTATATCATATAAATTATACGTGGTCAATAGTTAGTAAGTGATGCTTTATTAATTGAGAAGGAATTTATATTATTGTTTAATTTATTAACTTTATTATAAAAATATCAATACAATATTATTATTATATTTCTTATGTTTAATAATAAGGAGTTGCCCTGTTTGACGCCCTATAGTGCGCCCCCACCGTATAGTGCGCTTTCATTTTTTACAAAAATGCATATTTCTTACTTAGATAGTGCGCACCCTACGTATAGTGCCCCCATATATACCCAGGTATAGATTTTAAGTGACTTTATGACAACTAATCATCTGAAATATCTAGACATAAGCTGAACACAAGGAGTAGATAAGATAAGGCGATGTGTACAAAGTACGTACGCAAAATTTTTGTCAAAAAATGACCCCCTTCTCACAAAACGCCCATCTTAAATAGGAATTTAACATGGTGACATACGAATTGGCATGACCCCCTCCCCCCTACGAGTGCGTATGTACTTTGTGCACGCCACCTATGGAGGTTAACTTTTTAAATTCATACAAAATTGATTTAGTGATATTTGTAATATTTATATTAGTCAACTGAAAAGTACTTTTGTTTAAAAGTTTAAATTAAGAGTTTAGTTATAAAATACTTTGTGAAATTAAATTACATTTACTTGTTGTAGTGAACTAACATTAATATCAATATAATATTATTAATGATAAGTGTTAACTGTGTTTGTGCTATTAGTAATTGAATTAATTTAGTTTTAAGATTTTGAAGACT